GGTTCTGTCGTCAGCACCATCCATTTTTTTCTGTGTAGTTACGACTATTCGGCAAACGATTTGAGTCAGTTGTATTCAAATCATCCAAGATGATTTTATCAGTCTACGTTGGTGTGAGTCCTCAAGTAAGGTGAAAAGCGAAAGCACTCCATTTTTGAGGGTGTAAAGTCGAGAGACATGTCGAAAGAGACCTCTTGGCGGATATCCTGATTGAGCTTGACAAAAGGCCCTCGCCACAGCCCGATTTAACATATTGGCTCACAAGGCGCGCGCCTGGGAGCCCTTACCGCATAGCCCCCTCCCCCCCCCTCCGCAACATGATCTATTTAATTTGCTTTCAAGCATAGCATTCTTCTTTGTGCCTTACGGGGTTTTAGTTAAAAACATTCTTTTGGTGGATTCCCAAGCATTCTGATTCATGTATCATAGTCAAAATTTTACGCAAAAAACGATTCACACAACGAAAATTAGTGAAATCAGCCCCTCACCTAGATTCTAACGTTTTTATTTAGCACTGACTACAGAAAGTTTGCATGTCCCACTCACGAGAAAAACAATACTCTCCTTGAATCAAATAAATCGCGTACTACAAAGGTTTTGACAGTCTTCTTGATTATTTTGCAGTAATCCTTCTTTACTCTATACCGTCCAAATAAGTGTGAACAACTTGCAACAACTGAAGCGAAGCACCGAAATTGAGGTTGTCTTACTTCCAAAACCCAAATACTGCTGCGTTGACGTTTAGTACGCGATCAGTGGCGTGGCGTGAATGATAGATTGTCGATATTTCTTCATTTTAAGCTATGGTAAAGAATCGATTCATAAGGTGTTCGCTGCGATGAACACCCTGTCAATCAATCCTTTTCCATAGGTTTGAATGGCAGAGCAATCGATATATCGCAAAGCACGCCACGGCACTGACGTGTATACGATTGGATTGAACTCGAGTGGACACGGGTAATTTTTATGAGCGAAAACTTTGAATTTACGTACCGAAAATCTTGATATCAGAGTTACTGTCAATGATTTTCGGTGCATAATATTCATTCTGCGTGAAATTCTAATGAAAGAAGAGATGTCATAATGCTTGAAGTCGCACTTTGTTTTAGTGGTTAATTGCGTTTGAGATGGGTCAACTTCTCAAGGGGGACCCCTCAGAGCCAACCCCTACTATGGAGCTTTACCACCAACAACCCCCCTCCTCTCAGAAAAGGTGCACATTTAGGGGGCCGCAGCACAGGCTGCCGAAAAATCCCAAATGCGGCCCTGCTGTCCCTCACAGAGGCGCTCAGAGCGGGCAGCTGGCGAGTCGCCGAGCTCTAAGCCCCAGGATCCCTCTCCCTTTGAAAGTGGTAAAACTTTGAAACATAAAAGTCCGGAGCTAAATCCTTCGTCTAGTCGCTCCACGCTTGGCTCCGCCCATCATGGCGGGGCGGGGGGCGGGGGAATCCGGCTTAACCGCAACTCCATGTACGTACAACAACTCATTAAACGTGGCGCGTCAACAATCCCCACGCCGACTGCCGAGATCATCGTCACCGGTTCAAAAAATGTGACGTGGCGCTCTTTGCGATATGTCGATTGATCTGCCCTTTAAGCCTATGGAAACGGATCGATAGACAGGGTGTTCGCAACGGACACCTTAATAATCGATTATTCACTACAGCTTCAAACGGGCAGATATCGATGATCGATCATTCACGACTCGCCACTGATCAAAAGATGTGTCCCCTGGCTACATTTAATGCGCCGTTAAATGTTCACTCACAAAAAACATTAAAGTTCTTGCTTTTGGCTCAATCGACCTCAATAATACGGGCATCGAAAAAAAGAGAGGAAGAAGAGGAGGAGGAAATAGAAAAAGAAAAGTTTCTTTTCCTCCGTTTGTTCCTTCTTTCTTTCCTTCCTCTACCACTCTTCCTTCTCCTACTTTGTTCTCCTTTTTCCTTCTCTCATTTATTTTTCTCATTTTCATTATTATTTCTCTATCCGTACTGGAACGATTGGCTTCGAGGTATAAGAAAGTGAAAACGATATGAAAATTAACTGTTTTATAACGAATGGAAAATTGCCTGCAATATAGACCTGATGGAGGGTCCAATTTTTTTCTTTTCCGAAAATCCTATAAAATCAATATTTTTCAATGAATAAAATTTTCCGAGTTTTCAGTGTCAGACTTTTTTCGAACCGAGACGCTTAGTTAGATGCATTTTGTCTATACTACAGTCAAGCGCAAGAACACCGTAGCTACATCCTAGATTTTTCAATATTTTTTTTCTTACAAAATTTTAAATTGACGGAAAACCAGAATGATAATTTGGGAATGATGCCATCGGAAGGTCATGATGTGGAGATGTATCATGGAATAATCGGGTCCTCGTGTGATAGATCATTTTAAAAATAAAAATATTAATCTGTAATATAGAGTTACAGTATTTTTGCAATAGGCGCCTGGTATAGTATCATCAGTAGATCAGAAAGCGTGCATCAGATTGAATGAAATAAAACCTTGATATTTTCACAAATGACTAGATGGTCAACGACTAAAAGGCCAACATTAATTATTGCCAGCCCCTTTCAGATGAGAGCATCGTTAATAGAATATGAGAGGATCGGAGTTGCAAGGTCAGTTCATTGCTTGATACTGGGTCAGTTTTGAAATCAAACCGACCACTTAGAAGAGTCTAGTTCCTCTCAATTAATCGTAATGGAGTTGGTTCAGAGCTGAGCTTTAGTTGAAAACCTTGAACTCTCGCATGGGAAAGTTTCTCGATTCACTCATTTATAGAATTTGCCTTTACTTGGTATTCCTTACATCGGTCAAAAAAGCGTCTTAAATTTTATAGATTTCAAACGAGACATTTTGCAAGCTCTACTAAGTTACTCTCTTTAAATCTTCAGTCTTCACCTATCATAAAAAATTTTCGGAAATTTTTCAACTTACTAGTCAATAGTTCCTTTTAGCATAAATACGTCCATGTATAGCCATTATTCTCGGTGTATTGAACGGTTCAAGCAATGGGAGAAATAAGCCAGTCGTTTTCACTGCGCTGAGTGGAAAACTCAGAAATCGCAAGCATCGAGTATCGATACCCATAAAAAACCAGGGCTTAAAAGGAAAATAAAGTGCCGCACTTTCATGAAGCGACCGTAACATGATCTACTTCATCTTCCCAAACAGGCGATAGCGTGATGCTCGGAGAAAGATCCTTATTTAACGATTTAGTTTTTTTAATTTTTATTTTTTTACAAGCGACCCTTCAACCGAACACTCTTTCATTAAGAACTGCCTCTATTATGCCCCGGTTCCATAACGGTATCAATTACTCTGGGCGATGCCGAAACTCAGTACGCCATTTATCGGCACATGGCGAATTCTACCCCACTTCATACGAGCGCTGCGCTGCCGTGCTAAGTAAAAATGCCGTATGAACGCTCGTGCGTTGCCAGATTTCTTCTAATAAGATACGAGTTTCCGATGGAACTTGTAGACGTTTATCTTCCAATGTTTCATAGAATTTAATTGGCAATTGTTTCTATGATATCTGGAAATTTCAGGGCAAATATTTTTAAGGTTCTTCAAAAATTGGTGATTTATGAAGGTGAATTTGGTAACGTCCGAATGTTCATAGGACGTTTTTCATCAGCACGGCGGTGTGCCGGTCTCAGGGAAGAGGGACTGAGTTCATATCAGATTTTCTATTCTATTTTCGTGCGTTAAGGGTTATCTTCTGTCGTGCTAACTAGAGTACCTTTATAGACAGAGTATGGCCAGGCCATTCGTACCTTGTAACTATAGGAAAACTGTGCCGCTTTTTGATTGGTCAACGAGTTTTTAGGCTTAAAGATGCTCTTACGGCCGTAAATAAACAAACAAGATGACGACCTGCTGTAACATCGATAAGAAGCTAAAATTTGACAAAAATTTCAATTATACGGCGGTAACAATTTAAAATAGCGTATCTACGAATCCCACATGAAAAACACATGAAAACACTGTTAAATCGCCTTTATCTGTATGCAGGGACTCAATCCGTTACGTCACTTTATCAAACTCTTCTCTGGAAGCTTACAAAAAATAATCGTTATTTAAAAAGATCCGCTTGCCTCCGAGCTCATCATTCGGGACACATTCGTCGCTCCTCTGACGTAAAGAGGTATCTCAATTTACACGTGAGCCCTGTGCCCCGTACAATTCTATACTTTCCGCGGCTCATGTAGGAATACAGGTACGCCCTTACGTCAGTAAAGCGACTGCATGTGCATCATGAAAATCATGATGAGCGGATACGACGGATATGAAATGCAGCTCGATTTATGCCGCTCAGATTCACTCCACGCTGTCGCGGATTGTCACCGCATAGGATATGAATATTATTTCCGCTCATACAGCGCGGCGCAGCATGCGGGACGTGGTTGTCGCTTATTTTGCATTTCCATGGTGAAACTCCCGAACGCCCCGAAAGTAAAAGCTCCCACCATTGTCATGATACCAGTGGAGAATCTCTTGCCGCTGGTTTTTACTAAAGTACCTATGTAGCGAGAGTATGGACAGATCGCTTCATGCAGGGCTTAAGGCCCAAAAGTGCAGCCACCCTCCTAACCAACTTCTAATGCCCATTTCACTGCCAGTCTGCAGATTCCTATTTTAACCATGATGGCTGAGAATGTACATAAATGAGCGTTCCTCCGCAAAAATGAGTAAATTTATGCAAATACTGAGTCAAATACTTGCTTTATAAACGATGGTTCGTGACAAATATATTATAGTAAATCGCACTGGATAATTGAAATTCATGGGTTGGCTGCATTTCTGAGCCCTAACTTTATTCGCGGAGGCATCGGTGAAGGCCTGATGGGTTTTTGGAGTTTCACATCTGTCTATATTCTCGCTACATTCAAGTTTTTACCATTGTTTTCTCAATTTCTTGTGTTTTATTTCGTTTGATTTCTCGGATTTTTTTGTGCATGATTCTTAAATGTTTGAATTTGTGTTGCAGGTTGCAGGATCAGCAGGCGCACGGGCACGGGCACAGGAGCCGGAGCCCCCCGCCGGGTTCTCCGGGCGGCGAAGCCGGGAGCAGCCTCTCCGACTCGGATATAAGCCTCGGGGCCCCGTCCCCCGGCCCCCCACCCACCAGCCAAGTTCCTTACAAACCTCTCGCCCTCCACAGACCCTTCTCGCCCGCCAAGCCCTACTCGCCCAGGAACCTCGAGGCCACTCGTTGCTGAGCCTAAGTTCACGACGCATTTGTAAAGATTACTCAAAGTTTTCCCCCTGAGGTTCGCATTCCTTGAACGCACTTCTCGCCGATCCTACAAAGCAGAGTCCAAGAGCTCAGGGAGCGTTCATAAACTACATAACGCACATTTAAAGCATGTTTGACCCCCTTCCCCTTTTAAAGCTTCGTAACGCAATGGCGCACGTAGGGACTCCCTGGGGAACGAAGCTGTTTAAGGAACAACTACGAATAATTGAAAATTGTTTGTGATTCAAGGAATGCACCTTGGCATTTTAAGCATAAATTATACGTTCGTCAATAAAGGACGAAATAATTCGTCAGGCGTAACTTTGAAAGTTGTAATTATAAGATTTTCTGGTTCTGACCCTTTTGACTGGACCGTCTAGTTGTAAATGAATGCAACCACCAAAAGCCAATCTTCAAGAGTATGAGAATAACCATAAAGATTTAACAATCCCTCATATTTTTGATGAACACCTCCCCCCCCCCCCAAGCGGTCACATTATGGCAGCTTTAATTGTAGTTTGTTTCAGAGGGTTTTTAAATATGATGTTCACGAAACATAGTTTAAAGCTCACCACAGTGCTTTTTAATATTTTGGAACACCCCTTGCGTTGGGAAGGGTACAAAACGTTTTTCGCTCCACTACCATTGAAATGAAAATGAAAATTTTAAACCAAGAAAGTGCCATTTAATAGCGATTTCGACAGTATAGATTATGAATTAGAACGATGCATCTATTTCCTTGATGGACAGTCAACCCGCAAGTATCTGAAATGAGAACAACTTTGCATTCAATTTCGACTAGACGGCTCAATAACACAAAATTATATGTTGGTTCTCCGATTTTGTTTATTATTTTTTGTAATGAATTTATTTATTTATTTGTTCATTTGTATCATCACCGTAGAATGGGAGTGGACTGGCGGAAAAGAGGCCTCAAATAGAGCTCAGTGACCCTTTCGATAAATCTTTAAAAATCAAACACGCTAGATATTTCTTTTGTGAAATATTTCCAGGTGTTACCAAAAATGGTCAAATCAAGCATTTGACGAAACAGCAGTGAGTCTGTTAAATATCGAATAATTCAGTTTTATGCCGTGTTTATTAAAACAAAAAAGAAAGTGCCGTGGACAATGAACTGATATCATTTGAACATAAGTGCGAGAAAAGTAGTTAAACGATCAATAGGTAAATGAATCGAGAAGGTTGTCGACAATTATGAAAAAGTCGTTGCTTTCCAACATTTGCCTATTCGCCATGGTGTTTTATAAAGTGATGTTTGATTTTACAGTTTTACGATAAAAACAATGACCAAAGATTTTTACTGAAAAAGGTAAAACAAAGGCCCTTTTCAGCTGGCTTTCCAGCAGTTTGTCTACAAGCCATTCCACTCCTGTTGTAAACTTAAAATCAGTAGAGGGGCGTGCTTTGCGATTTATCGATTGATCCTCCATTTAAACCTGTGGAATAGGACCGATGAACAGGGTGTTCGCAACGAATACCTTAAAATAATCGATCTCTCACTACAACTTTAAATGGGGAGATATCGAAAAATGATCATTCACGCCTCGCCACTGCAAAATATAAGGCAATAAGTCACCGGGAGACCACTAGTGCAATTAAAATAAAAATGAAGGAACATTTTATTACTTCGCATGGCTTTCTCCCCTCCAAACAGATAAGTGTGAAATACTTGGAAAAAATGTCATTAAATGACGTATACTCAAGTCAGAAGAATTTAGTGTCTGGAATGATATTTTTCTTGACTTCCTGAATGCTTTTTTTGTTGAAAATCAACGATTCTTGCTGGTCATTTTAAATCAATTCATATCAGTGTTATTCTATAAAATGTAGTCGGTGTTTGTAGATGACAGGTGATTTAAGCTTCCGTTTGCGGGGTAAAGTTTTAGAAATTAGACATTTTTTACCGCAACTGTATGATAATAATTATTTGAAAAAATTACTTTGATTCCAACGAATTAATGCGAATCCGTTTGAAAGAAATCTTTAAATAAAGAACGTAGCAGTTACTTTTATACTATAGTATTATTAAGACATTTGATTTCGAATGAAGTGTAAATTAAACTAATGAAGTTTTTATTTTCTCAATTGGTCCTTAGTTTCCAAATTATCGAACGGTTCAGGAGAACACCTAGAAAAACACCATATTTTGAAAGATTAGTGAAGAGTGCGATATATGAAGGAAATCATTTTAATTTAACGAAAAATATTCGTCTGAGTTTTTACATGCGTTAAATTTTAAAAGACTAAAATTTTTCAAATTATAGTTCATACAATACTTTTACAATGAGGATTGTAAACATGCAATTGCATCTCTAATATTTCCTTGTAATTTTGATTGAAAAGCGATACCTTTAACAGTGGCGTGGCGCGTTTTGCGATATATCGATTGATCCTCCATTTAAACCTGTGGAAAAGGATCGATAGACAAGGCGCTCGCAACGAACACTTTGATAATCGATTCTTTACCACAGCTTCAAATGGGAAAATATCGATAATCGATCGTTAACGCCTCCCCTTTGTCCCTTTAAAAAATGAATCTTGCAAAACCCTCAAACCAACCGCCTAGTTTCTCCTATTAATCGAAACAGATCATCAAAATGAGACTCATAAGAGAAATAAACTTCAAAGGAGGAACGTATCTCCCCTCTCTTCATTATTAATAAGAATAAGAAGATAATTTATTTGATAGTTTTTCCTATTTTATGGTGCTGAATAAATTGTCTAATTTTATTATCCCACCGCGCACACCTAAATTTGTTCGACAAAGTAAAGTAAAATGACTAATAAAAACTGAATCATTTTGAACTTTTCCTGACTAGCATTATTTTCTTCTAGGTTTGTTCATTAGTCTCGAGTCTTGAATGTTTACTATATGTCTCATGTAAAATTGTGTAAGTTATAATTTTAGACGAATGGCTGTGTAAAACATACACAAGTAGCCTTTATAGGCCACCTGTTTTGTTTTTAAATTGTAAATAAATATTCAGTTAAAGTTCTTCTGTACTACTGTTTAATCTCAACGATACAACCACAGTGAAATAAGATGCCCCTGAATTTACAACAACAATTCATACTTCAGATCTCAGATCATACCAGTGTAATAAAATTTATCACCGAAAATTGTCGGCTCAAAGAGCACCCGTCGCACAGTGGATCGAGTCAATAGAAGAGGTCGGACAAAATTTGGAAACTTTAAACGCTTATAACTCCGTTAACACAAAACTTTGAGAGTCTAAAAGTCGTTCCATTGGTTTCCTCGTGAAATCCTCTTACAAAAGTACCCCTTGAAATTTAAACTGTGACGGAATAAACATCCAAATTCGCATTTTTAGTCAGCAATTTCATGTCTGACCTCTTTAATTGACTCAATCCACTGTGCGTTGGTTTTGCTAAACCATTGTTTGTAAGTGGTTTGGATAAACGATGGATTCAATGAACGCAACTGGATGATGATAATTAAATTTGTCCCCAAAAGTGCTAATTTCCATCACTATTTTCGATTCCCACTGCAATATCGAATGAACTTGCCGCGTGTACATGGTGTGTTCTTGCTCTTTTAGTACATTGTTCATCATAAAAATCAAGCTGTAGAGTGAAGTTTTATTTACCGTAAGCAATAATGAATCATCCATAATCGTTACATATCCAAAGTTACTTCTAAGGACATATCTGTGTGCTTATAAAGTTTCACGGGTCCAAAAAAAGTCAATAGTACCTCCATGGACTGAAACGTTTTTGCAGAGATGGCATGCTGGATATTAAAACCATTTTTGAACATTTTCCTTTTTAGTTCTCATGGAAAAGGCTAAAATGAAAAGCTACCCAAGACTCTGTAGGTAATCAAACAATTTTTGGATCGGAACATAACTTTCAGCCTCATAATTAGCACTACATGTTTCAACTTAGAAGTCCGATTTATGGCTCATCAACGAAAACGCATATCTGCATAAAAGGAAACTTATAGCACATAAATTTTTTCTAAAATGAGCCAGAAATAATACTAGTTCCTACACTGCAAAATGTAGTGCATTTTTGAGAAAATTATGTTTTTAACAAAGATAAAGAGGAAAATGATTGAAATGATGTGCTATGCGGTATGCTGACACAGGATAAAATTTACATCACGTCGAAATAAATCTGGAGATTTTGTATGTTACAAATGTAAATTCTCGGTAGAAGAAATGAACCCTGAAAAAAAACGAATGGATGCAAAAGTATGGGGATAAATCGAAAGTAAACTAAAGTATAAAGGAAAATGAAAACCAAAAACTGATATGCCTGTCGCAATCATAGCTTCAGATCTAATAAGTATCGGTCCATATCAAACTTTAAACTCGTTAAGAATGATGAAAATTCTCTAAGTCAATTATACGTTGTATTGTAAGTACCTATCCCAAAACTGTACTCGGTTTCCCTTGTGAGGAAATGTAATGATAAAAACGCAATATTATCAATAAAGTATATCGTAGACAGAATTATGTTGATTTCTATATTCTATAATGCATAAGTCATTGTACATAAGCATAAGTTTTTTTGTTATACAGTTGTAAATATTTGCATATAATTTATGGTATCGTAAATATACAAAATTATTCATTAAAATCGTAATCATCCGTCAGATTTATTCTCTTTTTTCCCATCTTTCTTACAATTTGAGCAACTTCTTCCTCTTTTCTGAGGAATCCTTTGGCGCGGCGTATTGAAGGTCTTAAATATCAACGACCTCCTGAGCTGCCCAATCGGTAATCGTTTGATCTCTAAATTTACCCAATTTTTTAGTGAAGTATATGGAATTGTATCACCGATGACACCTTACCTCTTTCATTCATTCGAGTTAAGAATTAAAACATGAATAAGACATATGTTAGAATTAATTATTTTCATCGCGTCTTAAAGATATCACAGAATTTGCATATGCTCACCTTAACGCTGTATGACACTCGTAAGCCGGCAAGACTCTGATGCACTGTTTTTAGAGTTTGACAGGAGTGAGTCTCAAATATTTTCAGAGATTCTGCCCAATGTGCAGAAAAAATGACGTCGGTTGAGCCTGTTGTAAATTATCATAAATAGTGAAAAAAACGTAGGGTGGAGGAAGCAAAACAGAAAAAAACGAGGGGAGCAAGAAAGTAAAAATAGGAAACACAAATTTTAGATTATCCGTATCGACGGTGTAACTGCCAGTCCACGTATCTTGTCTGCGGTGTTTAAAAATCTCCGTTTCCATTTTATTGTTTAGAATAAGAATAAAATCAATATCATGCCTTTAAATCTTTACAGAGTTTTCTTCGCACAGAGAAGGAAAATCATGGAAGTTTTCAAAAATTGGCCTTCAGTAGTTTTCCAATTAAAAAATAAAATATGACAGGAAGCCTACAACGTCGCAAACCGAGATACGTGGTATGGTAGTTTCACCGTCGATATGGACTTCATTCTGTAAGAAAAAACTACTACTTATGGCTAATTTGCAAAATCACCTCCTGGCATCGGAGAACTATTCTGCCGTGCTAGGGAAAAACGCCGTACGAGCCTTCAGGCGTTGCCAAATTTCCTTTGATAAAACACGAATTTCCTGGTGAACATATTAATATTTTTCTTCAACTCTTTCAGATAATTTTGTTCGCAATTTTACCTAAATTTCCTGAAAATTTCAAGGAAATATATTCATAACTTTCCTCAAAAATGAACATTTTATCAAGGGAAATTTGGCAACTGTCGAATGTTCATAAGGCGTTTTTCCTCAGCACGGCAGTATTGCCATATACGTATGCAGTTTCGAAAGTGAACCAGCAACTGTATAGTCCTTAATGAGGCAGTGGCAAGGAATTTTTGCAGAGTTGCAGAATAGTTGATTTTACATAAAATTTTGTGGAAATGCCAAAAAGTTAAAAAAGGAATCATTCTTAAGGAGAGAAAAAGCTTATTAAAATCTAACCAGTCCATAGCCGAGGGCAAAGTTGACGTAACAAGGCAATGCCTGAAGATGATTTCATAAAATCAGCAAATGCCTCACGCCGTTTCCCGCGCCTGGCTATACGTCATAAGCGCCCGCCAAAAGTATTGTTTCAAACGGATCCTGTTTGTATTTTGAGCATTTTCATCAATTTCCGGAATTAGAATACAGAATTGTACTCCATGTTGGCAAAAATGGACTTCCAGACAAGGAGTAAATTTAATTACTGAAAGTAACTCCTAAAAGACCACTTAAACCTTCATAACAAGGTACTTAAAATTTCCTTACCATGATTTATTTGTGCGAAGAGACTCAGTATGACTCTCATGTATGTTGCCGAATAATTTTCCTTCTAAAACGGGATTTTTATTTTTTCCTCAGAAAATCCTGGGCATACCTGACTAATAATTTCACCGATTTTTCTTCCAATCTTATACAAGGTCAGAAAAATTTTGGATACGAATTGCACAGGTATATGCTTGTGAAAAAAAACTAAATCTGAGTCAATTTTGCAACTTTGGAATGGGGTTGTGTTCCTTCTTTTGGGGAACGATGAAGTATTCTGCCGTGCTAAGGAAAAACGCCGTATGAAAATGTTAGGTGTTGCCAAATTTCCTTTGATAAAACGCCAATCCCCTGGTAAACTTGTGAATATTTTCCTCCCAATTTTTCAGATAATTTCGTTCGCGATTTCATTCAAAGATTCTGAAATTTTCAGGAAAAAATATTCTTAAATTTCCTCAAAAATAAGCATTTTAGTGAAGGAAATTTGGCAACTCTCGAATGTTCATACGGCGGTTTTCCTCGGCATGGCAGTATTCGGCAAACGACTGTAGTAAGAAGAGAACCTGGAGAAAGTTCAAAAGAAAGTTTAAGGGAGAAATGAGTCTCTTATAGCGTTAGAAGAAGATTTTCTCGGTTTCTGGAACAAGTCCCTGATTTTTCCTTGAAATTTTAGATATTCCCAGTGCATCCCGGTCCAGACACCATACCTATCGATGATGAAACTGCAGAAATGCGTATCCCGCTTTGCGGCGTTGCAGACTTCCTGTCATACTTCATTTTCTACAGGGAAAACTACCGAACGTCATGTTTTGAAAAATTCAGTGGTTTTCCTTCTCATTATAATTCTGAAAACTTCAAGCCATGATATTGGCCTGTCGCCTATAAAGGCATATAATACTGCCGTGCTAAGGAAGACCGCGGTATGAACATTCAAGGTTGCCAAATTTCCTTCGATAAAATGATTACTTTTGAGGGAAGTTATGAATATATTTCCTTGACATTTTAAGGAACTTTAGGTGAAATCGCAGACAACACTATCTGAAAAATTGAAACACAAATTTTCAAAAATTTACCAGAAAATTCGCGTTTTATCCAAGGAAATTTGGCAACGTCTGAAGGCTCATACGGCGTTTTGCCTTATCACGGCAGATTAGGCGCCAAGATTTCGAAAAACCTCACACCGGGAAAAAAAACACATTGGATCTAGAGTCCAGACTCTTGAAAACATTGACAAGAAAAAATACTCTTGACTCAATCGGATTTTTACTTGAATCAAAACGAAATCCGCTTAAATTAAGAGGCTTGTTTCTTGATTTAAGCTAGATTTTGATTGAATCAAGAGTACTTTTCTTGTCGATGTTTTTGAGAGTCTGGACTCTAGATCCAATGTGTTTTTTTTTTT